ATGATATGAAATATGAATGAGCATCTGTTTATCGTTCTCTCTCTCCCCTCCCTCTCTCTCTCTCTCTCTCTCTCTCTATATATATATATATATATATATATATATATATATATAAATTTTATAAAAATATTTCTTAACTATTAAATATCAATTTTTTCCCGACTTCGAAGTTTCTTGGTAAAATTTACGTTCTTCACGAAGTTCGGTTTTAAATTATATATATATATATATATATATATATATATATATATATATATATATATATATATATATATATATCTCCAAACATGTTTCATTGACTAATATAGATATATTGTGTCTGCTTATTTTATACTGATCCTTTCCAGCTCTCATCAGTTTTTTGATGTTGAGATAGGATTCATCAAGTTAGGCGCCCTAGTTTTTGTCAACCCGAGTACTTTCGAATTTTCTACGATCATTTTCAGGGGTAAGTTACAAAGACAAACTTATTGTAACTGCGATAAAATCTACATTCGCTGTGATGTTCATTTTAAAACACACGCGAACACACTCTGTTATAATAATTTTAAAATTTCAAATTTATCTGATGTAGCTATGAAATTTTTGCCAAACAAGCCCTTCAGTATCATGGAGTTAACCGAAATTTGGTAGAAATGTAAAATGGCATTAAATATTATTGTACGAAAGTACTTGGATAAAAAAAAACTATGTCGCCTTCCTTAATGAATTTCATCTTAACATCAAGAAATTGATTAGACAACTGGAAAGGATTATGTATAAAAATAAGTAGACGCAATATGTCTATATTATTCAATGAAAGATGTTTGAAATGCATATATATATATATATATGTGTGTGTGTGTGTGTGTGTGTGTGTGTGTGTGTGAATAAAAATGACAATAGGAAAACTAGTAATTGCTGACGCGTTTCGTCTAATGTGAACTTTATCAAAGCAAAATACGAAAATTGGATGAAACGCGTCAGCAATTACTAGTTTTCCTATTGTCATTTTTATTCATAAGTATTGTCTTCTCTACTGGTTAAATCGGAGAAATTTTCCTATATATATATATATATATATATATATATATATATATATATATATATATATCAATTGTTTATATGGATGTGTTGCTGTGAACTAAAATGCATACACCTCTATGTATGTGCATAGTGCCACCCCAAACAAACACGGAAGTAGATTACTCCTCCCGCCACCAGACATAGTCAAACAAGCATAAATAGATCCAATTTTAAAAAATAAACCAGTTTGTCTGATGCTCGAAAAAAGCGTGAAACCCAGGGTCACAAACTCATATCTATACAACTTATTATGTTAACTCTATCACTGATATTGAGCGCTTTCCACTAATTACCACTATATATATATATATATATATATATATATATATATATATATATATATATATATATATATACCAGGACAGCAAATGACTTGCAAATTTTAATGCCACCAAAACGAAATTACTCTCATTTAACTACCATATAGAAACTTTTCTACCAGCTAGTCTGATGTTGGACTCATGAGTCTCACGTTTTCAACTGACTTAAAGTGGAACGACTACATCGAATCATTAGCTGCATCTACTGCAAGGAAATTTGGGTCGCTGAGCCGTGCCAGAAGGTTTTACTCATTAGAGTTCATCTTGCACATTTACAAATCTACCATTCGTCCGTGCATTCAATACTGTCATATCTAGTCTGCTGCTCCTGCTACTCATCTCGAAGTTCTTGACAACACCCAAAGAAGGATCTGCAATGTAATCGATCCTGACTTGGCAACTCGACTTCAGTCTCTTTCCCTCTGTCTTTTCTACAAATATTTTCATGACAACTGCTTTGACGAGCCCTTTTTTATTCCTTGTGCCCGAATTACGCGAGTTTAAGTTTGCTACTAGTTTGGCATCTAGATCTCACACGTATACCGTTGAATTAGTTAAATGTAAACGCCACTTCTACTCCAACAGTTTCTTTTATCGCCCTTCCCGCCTGTGGAACTCCCTTCCGTTTCCTTGCTTCACTGATAACTACAATCTTCAAACATTTAAATTCAACGTCAATCCCATCTTCTATCTTCTTGAACCCCGTTCAGCTTTTATCCTTTCCTACCCCCTGCATACCAGTGGCATTCCCGCCTTGCTTGGGGTGAAATAATTCAAAAAATCTCTCAAATTTCGGCGTATTGATTTCAATTCTAACCACACCAAACGCCTCTGGTGTAGATAAAACATACACACAGGCGGACAGTCAGTCTCTTGAGTCTGGGCATTAGAAGTGATAAGGCATCTAATTTAATTTATGACTATTTATAATCAGAGATCACAAGGCATTTCCCTCTCACACAGTTTTGCCTTTGTTTCATTCTAACCTGAAGAAGCCAAAGAGAGCAGACTCTCTGGTGAAACGCGCCGTTAATAAAGTTCCCACTTTGTTTCATTATCTTCATACACACACACACACAACATATATATATATATATATATATATATATATATATATATCGTAATATGCTGTGTAAGTAGTCCACCACTAGCAGTGGTTTACCTACTTCACATCGTTGGCGAGTATTGTATTTTGTTGATGTTATAAAGATTACCATTTCATTTTCAACCTCCGTTTTGGTTATTCCTCATTCAGTAACCCTTTTGAGTTTACGATAACATTATTACCAGCAATACATTTTTGAAAAAAATTTATTGTCAGCAAGAAAAATCTATATCGGCATTAAATAACCCATTGAGGTTGATATGTCGTAAAATAAAACAAAACAAAAACATGATTAAAGATGCGGTAAAAAAAAATGGTCGGTTCAATGAACCTCTCCAGAAAATATCTGACTCCATCTTCCATGCCTTATCTTTACAAGAGTCAGACGAAACGAAAAATGGAGTATTGTTCATCATCTTTCAGCCTGGACCGAGTTTAAAATCAATTACATGGTCATGTGGGTGATGACCCACCTCGCCACGCTACAGTCCTCTTTTCCTAGAAGCAACATCACAGGCCTATCGCTATTTCTATGACAAATGTTCAGATGATCTCATTCTTTAATGGCACCAGCTCAAACCTTTTCAGCCAAGAACGGCCTCACCACAGGGCCAGTACGTATTACCCCCGAACCACCCGACCAGGGGCGGGGCAAGCCTGATTGGGGGCCCCGGGCAGTGATTTGCGTTCCTTGCTATATTATCAGCATTTTTTTTTCTGCCTACTTTTATATATGTTTCAAATTAAACTAAGCACAATTGACTATTAAAGGATGTTAGCGAATTTTGATGTCATTCCGGGATCTTTTAGAATTTTTTGCCCAAATCTATGATATTTGTTTTTTCATGCTAAGTTTCGAAAAAAAACCCCATAATATTCACTATTTTTTATCCATAATGTTGAATGTGTTAAGATTATTCAATATTTTAACAAGAAAAAGCTACTCAATTAAGTTACAAATTGCCGCAAAACATGTTTGATTTATCTAAGATGGAGGAATGATCTATTATGACATGTCTCTAATTTATATTTAGGTACATTGTATTTATTTTCAGTTTTTCTAGTTGAATTGTTCACCTACATTGCTTATGAGCCATAATTGTACATAATTAGGTTATAATAAAATTTGTATTTTATATGGATACTACCTTATGAAAATTGAGATGTAGTAGAGTGGAAGCTCCAGACATAGATTCGAAGTGGGGGTAAAAAAAAAAAAGCTATATAAATTTCACTATTTATAGCCATGTTGAATATGTTAAAATTATTCGACATTTTAACAAGAAAAATCTGAAGCTGATGTTAAAAATTGTGGCAAAACATTGATATGAAAATTGAAATGTAGTAAAGTGAAGGGCTCCGTATTCATGGATTCTGAAGTGATTGTGAGGCTCTTTTTTTTTCATCCAAACCCGTGAATTTCTTTTGCTTATACGAAGTATCGGAAAAAAAAACACTATATAAAATTCACTACATTTTCATCCATAATGTTGAATGTATTAAAATTATTCAACATTTTAACAAGAAAAAATCTAAAGTTGATGTTAGAATTTGCATTGATTTATTTAAGATGGAATGATCTATTATGACATGTCTCTAATTTGTATTTAGATACATTATATTTATTTCCAATTTTTTCTAGTTGAATTCTTCACCTGTATTTCATATGATCCATTGCTGTACATAATTAGGTTACAATAAAATTTGTATTTTATATGAATACTACCTTATGAAGATTCGGGGATCTATCATAGATTGGGGTGTGTCGTAGACTGAGGCGAGGGGCACCAGACCCTTAAACCGACCCCGCCTTACTACCATTACTAGGACACATCAGAGTGCAGACTAAGGGCTTTTTTTGTTACTGATTTCTATGGCAATCGTTTATAGACTTGAGCAGCAACAGAATAAAGTCTATTGGTGCGCCATTAACGATGATAGGAAAGCGAGCTTCTGTTCGCTAAGTTCAGTGAGAGGCAGCGGCGTCTACGAAAGTGATGAGCGTTTTATTGAGTAGGAGTGAAAAAGTTTGATGGCCTCTTGTCATCCGTTGTCAGGGAGCCGCTGTTCCCGGCTACTCAAAATCTTTTAGTGAAATTCGACTGGATTTTATTGTCGGCCATTCCTTTCCCAACTCCACGTCATTTCTCATAAAAGTTCAAGTATTTAAACTCAGAAGGGCAAAAGATTTGCAACGACGGCGATGAGTTGCATCTGTAAAAGTGAAGTGTCGTGTTAATAGCGATTCCCCACCTCCAACCATTTTTCTTTACTTTTCTTGTTTTTAAGAGTCTCTGGATTGCGTTAGAACAGAGAGAAAAAAGAAGATATACGTTTCTTTCTTTCTTTCTTTTTTTTCTTCTGTGTTTCAGTTGTTAATACTCCCACTCCCGCGTCTCTCATCTCTGTCTGTCTGTCTGTCTGTCTGTCTGTCTCTCTCTCTCTCTCTCTCTCTCTCTCTCTCTGTTTCACAGATTTTCTTTCTTTTTATTTTTCACTTCTAGTTTGAGGACCTTTCTATCTATCTATCTATCTATCTATCTATCTATCTGTCTGTCTGTCTGTCTGTCTGTCTATGTATGTATGTATCTAACTATAATATGGATTTCCTATTCATTTTCATTCTAAGGATATTTCCATTTACATCTTTCAATCTCTCTATCTATCTATCTATCTATCTATATATATATATATATATATATATATATATATATATATATATATATATATATATATATCGTTCTGTTTATATATCTATTGTGTTCATATCTCTATTGTGTTCATATCTATCTATCTATCTATCTATCTATCTATCTATCTATCTATCTATCTATCTATCTATCTATCTATCTATCTCAACTAATAACCAGAGAAGCTAAGAAGAGTGAGAGAGGAATATGAAAATGTATAAGGATAGAAAATGGGTATTCTATATTTTCTTTCATTCCTTTCTATATATTCCAATCTGTTTATATCTCTCATTCTGTTTATATCTATCTATCTATCTATCTATCTATCTATCTATCTATCTATCTATCTATCTATCTATCAAAATGAACAATATCTTACTGACCGAATAAAGAGAGTAAGATGGAAAGGGAGAGAGAGAGAAAAAAAAAGACGTGTGTCGTCGTTTCTTGATCGTAACGAGCGACGTATCATTGTTTGCTTACTTCTTGCTTTCACGGCCTATCCTGATCAAAATAAGTAATAAAATAAGAAATTAACGTGACCAGTAATAAAGACGGAGGAAAAAATAGACACAGAAAAAAGTCACAATTTTGACTAGGAAAATATGTTACAGAAAAAAAAAGCCACAATTAATTTATGGTGGCCGATAATAAACTTATGAGTACTTCATGAGTTTATAGATCCGCTCTGTTTGCAATATAAAGTAAATCAATCCAACCTCTAAAAACGTTTTCTAACAATGCTATGGTCACATATTCGATATATTTCATAGTTACGGAGATTTAGTACCCCATAAGACACTACTTGAAAAAAATCTCAATTAGATATTAAAACTCGAATTAAAAGTTCCTTGAATTTTAAATTTAGACCAGTAGCTCCCGACCTATTTAGGACCATGCCACTCTTTGGTATTTTTAAAATTCTGCTGCCCCCCCCCCACTGTAATATTTAATTCTTACATGTATGCCAATTACACATGTACATACACTCAAAATATTTTTATGTATGCATACTGTATATGCATCGTATGTATTAACATTAACACACTCACTCAGACTCACTAGAAAACAATTCACTGTTAATAACTCATTCTAAAATTGCCCCTTTATTCTGTTGGTATAGTAAGCTCAAGGGTGCACATCCTATGCATACCCCACCAAAATATTACCATACCCCACCGATGGGGCATGCGCACCACGTTGGGAATTTTTTATATAGATTGATTTTGTCCATTTTTAGGATAATGGGCTGGAATTTATGCGATGTGTGCTAACCTTGTCCTGTTTTTGTTTTTTGTTTTTGTTTTTTTTCCTGTGGCTTTTTTGCCTTGTGACTTTTTGCGCCTTTTTTTTTTACCTGGATTCGAAATCAAATAAAGTAAAGACAGGTCAAAAATATGGCATATAGACTAACAAAGTATAAAATTTTCGTATGCGCGGAAGAAGTGCAAATATTCATGAGTGCGCATGCGTGTGTATGCTGAGTGATTTTGAAGCCAAGATTAAGACAGTAAAATGGAGAAGAAAAAGTCAGTGGGTAGGTACGTAGGTTAGGAGACGCATAGGGAGAAATAGATAGAGGTTGTATTGAGTCTGGTGGGTAACAGCTGAGGCAGGGAGAGGCGGAACTAGGAAACAAGGGGCGCGGCGGTAACGCAGCCAGTATCACTGTTCTGAGCTGTTGTTTGTTTGCTTACTCTTGCAATTGATACAAAATTTGCCACACACTTGTCTGCCGCGGGCTTAGGAATTGGTGTAGACAGGGAAGAGAGATGGGTAGCCGGTTTGTTGGAGCGGCGGGCTGTTTGCAAATTTGGCTGGGTGAAGAAGAAAAGGGGGATTTTAAGCGAGAGAGAAAGCGAAGCTAAAGCGGAAAAAAGTGATGAAAAAGCAAAAAAGGGAGACGCAAAAAAAAGAAGGATGAAAACAAAATAATTATGAAGAATGAACGCGTAAAAGAAGAAAGATGCAAAAAAGAAGACAGGGGAGAAGACGAAGAGAGAGAGAGAGGCAAAGAAACAGAAGAAAAGAGACGCGACAGCGAAGAAGAATTAAAACACAAAAGCGAAGAAGGATAGAGACACAAGGTGGAAGAAAAAGAGCGATGCAAAAGCAGAAAAAAAAGAGACGAAAAAGATAAGAAGAAAGGGAAGTAGAATGAAAACACAAAAGGGACAAAGAATAGAGACTCAAGAAGGAAGAAGAAAAGTGACGTAAAAGTGGAGACACACAAAAGGGAAGAAGAGAGAAGGGGCACAGAATGAAAAAGAAATGATGAAAAATAAAGAGCAAAGAAGAAATGAGACAAAAAAAGAAAGAAAAAAGATATGAAATCGAAGAAGAGAAACGCGAAAGGGAAGATGAGAGAATGGAATGAGAACGAAAACACAAAAGAGACGAAGAAAAAAGAATGAAGAAGAAGAAGAGAGACGCAAAATGGAAGAAAAAAAGGGATATGAAAACGAAGAAGAAAGACGCGAAAGAGAAAATAAGAGAATGGAATGAGACTGAAAACACAAAAGTGACGAAGAAAAGAGACACAAGAATGAAGAAGAGAGACGCTAAAGGAAAGAAAGCAACAAGTTATGAAAGCGAAGAAGAGAGACGCAAAATGGAAGATACGAGAATGGAATGATAATGAAAACACAAAAGAAATGAAGAAAAAAAGACACAAGAATAAAGAGAGACGCGAAATGGAAGAAAAAACACGCAAAAAGTGAAGCAGAATGAAATCGTAAAAGCGCAGAATAAGTAACAGTCAATAAAGAAGAAGGAAATTGCAAAAATGAAGAGAGATGTAATGGTGAAAAAGAGAGGCGCAAAAGCGAATCGAAACACAACGTAAACGCGAATAGGATTGAGTTTAAACACGCCAATATATCGATAAATGAAATTAATATTTCGCTGTTCGCCTCGTTACCTGAAAAAAAGTAAAACCTATTTTTAATTAAAGTTCTTTTCATTATTAAAAATAAAATTCTATTCTTTTCGGTGCCGTGTCCCTTCAGGACGTAGACCATCATGTCTCCCTCTATTTTCCTTTTTCTTTATTATATCTGTGAACCGCAAAGATTTCCTGGAAAATATAGTTCGGTGGTTTCCCGTTGTCTTCGCGATGGTTTGGAAATCAAACAGACTACACTGCTATTTAACCCATAGCGGGGAGGTGAAGTGAAGTATTCATGTCATTCGCGTGGGAAAGCAACAGACTAGCCCGGAATTTGAACTCGGTTCATCTATTTCACTTTCGGGTCGTTACCTACCACACCTTCAAGTAAAAAAAAAAAAAAAAAATATGAATCAATAAACTTCTTTTTTTTTTCCAAAAAATAACTTCCATCCGATAAATACGAAACAATAAAAAATAATTTTCTTCTTTTATGTTTCTTCTGAGGATTATTTTTTATTGATTTGTTTTTTTACGGCTTATCAACCTTTAGCAACTTATTTAAAGCCAGAACCTATTTTTACATTGTAAGAATTGGGGGTGGGATAATTATGGTTTACTGATACAAGCGCTACTAATTAACCCATAGATGAGGGGAGCATTCATATCTTTTCTAAGAGTAAGGAAATATAATGAACCCGACTGGAATTGGACTTTGGCTTCGACAATTGGAAGATCAAAGACATCTTTAAAGTTTTGTCCAAATAAGGAATAGCTGCACTGATTGAAACAAGTGATGATCCAACCCCCGCCCCTGTAAATATACTACGTGACAAAGAATTTCCTATTTCTACACCCTTATATGCAGTGCCGGTGCAAGGGTTTTGTGGGCCCACACCGAATGCATGATACGCCCCCACCATTCTATTACATCTCAATTTTTATACGTAGCATTTATATGATTACAAATGTTATTGTAACCTAATTATGTACAGTAATGGATCATATGCAATACAGGTTGAACAATTCAACTAGATAAATCTATATAAATAAATGCGAATGTCAGTGTGTCACTGTGTCACACTTTTTCAACTTTACTCCTAGAGACCGTAGTCCAATATATAATACCATTTTGGAATCAATCCGACTCAGAGCAGATTAAAAGCATTCCAGGCAGGATCTGGATCCGTAATCCTGAAATTTTGGATTCCCAAGTTTTCATTACTGCGATAGTTTTCAGCGATTTTTTTTACATGATTTTTCTGCGACGAATTTTTGTGCGATAACAGTTTTTATAACTTGGAAATAAATTTGGAAATAATCGAAATTAATTGCGAGATCAAGCGAAGATCACCCATCAAATAAAAATAATTATCTATACAGAAAGTAGGGACTTAGGTACATCAAACTGTCTTTAAGTGGCGGCAAAAAAATTATCGTTGAACTTTTAAAAGGTAAGCTTAAATATTAATGCAATACGTAAATGCAGCGATCAATTTTAAGTTCTTCTGTATCTTATTGTCGCTTATGGCATACGACAGCAGTATGCCTCACAAAAAGAAATCTCCGCCAACAGACGACCAGATTGCAATCAAAAGAGCCAAGGCTACAGTGAGGAAAAGAAAGTCCCGTGCAAATGAAAAACCAGATTAAACGGCAGCCAGGAGAGCTTCCAATGCTGAAAATATACAAAAACTTAGGGCCTCTCAAACTCCTGAACAAACTGAAGGCCTAATCAAGAACCTCCGCAGGAGCTAGCTTAAATGCCTCCGAATAGGGCGGCTTTTAAGTTAGTTGAAAATAAATACAATCTAACTAAATACAAGTTAGTGACATTTCATTATAGATTATTCCATCATAAATAAATCAATCAAAATGTTTTGCGACAATTTTCAGTATCAACTTCAGAGTTTTCTCGTTAAAAAGTTGAACAATTTTAACAAATTCTGGATAAAAAAAAATAGTGAATTTTATATAGTATTTTTTCGATACTTAACATAAGCAAAACAAATTCAC